ATGTATATCTGTCTTTTTGTCTGAATGTTACGCCTTCAGCCTATTCTATGCCGACGTAGTCGCGGGCAGCAGCTAGTTACGAATAAATAAGAATTACCTATATATTAATACATCAGCAAAAACTTTGTACCCCTTTTTTCGAAAAGTGCTCGGTCGGGGGAGTATGAAATTTCCAAACACCTTACACACACTACAATAATATATGTATAATTATTTATGGTCAAAAGGCAAACACGGCACTTAACTTTATTCAATTTTTTATTTCAAACCCTCGGAAATAAATTAGGTGTAACAATAGTAATACATAATATGTCTCTAATTTTATAGCCCTTGTGAAATATCAATTTAAGGTCGTTACGATATCGATCACATTTCATAGGCCAAAAATTTTATTTGAATAAAATTAATAAATAATTGTAGCTATCAAAAATATATATAGCAATCTAAAATATAACCAAAATCAAGTTTTATAATTATAATATTTATAAGTTAATAAGGTCAACTTCAACACGAAGAGAAATGGCTATTTAATATACTCTGTATATAATATATACAGTGTATAATATATAATATTATTCTGTATATAATATATGATATATTCTTATATAACATGTATATAATATATACATAAATGTCCATAGTTGAATAACTTGACATTTTTAAACGAGTTTCTTCTTAGACCCATCACTGGCTACCAGATAATAATATAAAGCAATCTTCTCAGTTTTCTACCGTCTGAAGTACCTGACTTCAAATTTCATCGTAATTAACAGGATTAATGGAAACATCATTGCTCATATTTCTTGTTAACTACAGTTGATTCTTTATACAGGTTGAATGCATATAGGCACGTAACCAAACGTATTTGTCACGCGAACGCAGTGAATTCCATCCCTTCTTACCATACACTTTGGATGTACCTACTTCGTGGTATTGCATCGTCAGTTAACTTCGCGAAAATCCCTCGGCCTCTTTCTAAGAATTTTTTTTTTTTTAATTTTAGGACACATTCTTTTTACACAACGTTCTCTAGTCCCAAACTAAGTAACGCTTGTACTATGGGTACTAGAAAACGAATAGACATACTTAAACATACTTTTCTTTTGTAAATAAATACACATTATACATATATAAACACCCAGACACTAGAAAAACACTATGCTCATCACACAATATTTTTCCAGTAGTGGGGATCGAACCAACACCCTCTGGCGCAGAAGGCAGGTACACTACCGACTACGCCATTCGGGTCGTCAAAGTTTCTAAGAATGTATAGATATTCGAAACCCGATCAATCTACAAATAAATTGGAAGATCGGAAGTATTTGTAACACCTTAAAATTAATCAAAAAAAGTAGTCATTTTCTTTTGGTTTGGTGGTAGATTTTCTGTTGAAGTTCAATAAGAGCTTAAGTTAAGCCTATATTGAATAAATATGCTTTGACTTTGACTTTGGTGACGTTTTTCCGGTCAATGAATCTAAAAATATTTCTTTAGTTCCTTTCTTACAAAAATAAGAGCTAAATTGGGTACCTTATAATTGTGGTAGAAGGATATTAAAACTTAAAACTTCGTAATACGTATATTAAAAAAAAATGGAAAAGCCATCCGTAAAGATAATTTTTTTAATTTATTCTGTGGTTAAATTACGCCGAATTCAGCCAATGAAATGGTGGAAATTTTAAAAGTTTCTGTTTTATATAATAATAAAATCAGGTTATTAAAGCGTGATGCTATAAAATATTGGTAAGATAAAAAAATTGCTCTCTTTTTTTAAGAATGATGATTCATTTAATCATTGATTGAAAATTCATTGTGGTAAAAAACTAACAAACTAAGATATTATAGATGGCCAAATATTTTTTCAACTACGGTTAGCGTTTACATTTAATCATCATCAAAATAAATTACGCATAACAATAGTAATACATACATCTGTAATTTTATAGCCCATCGTGAAATACCAACTTAAGGCCGTTACGATATCGACCAAATTTCATACGACAACATTTAATACTTCAGCTACAACAAATGATACCATATTCTAGTCGCGACAAAGCCATAAAAATAACTGTTTTCGTCGATTAACTTTTGCGGTTGGCACAAATGAATTATTAATTTGCGTTAGTTATCATCAACGTGTACTATTTAATTAATTAAAGTAATTACAGGTAAATTTTACTTATTTTTAACTCTGTAGCTTTTATTTGTATAAGTACCTGGACCGGAGACCGGTTTGTTTTTGTTTGATAAATCATTTATTTTGTAAATAACATTTAGATACAAATAGCCGTGATAGCTCAGTGTCCGGGCGCTCGCCTTTAATTCAATATATACTCGAGCAACCTGAGTTCGATCCCCGGTGCCGGCACCAATGAAGTTTTTAACTTTAAGTGCTGAGTTGTCACGTGCTCCGCGGTGAAGGAAAACATCGTGAGGAAACCTGCATATTTTCGAAATAATAACAAAAAAAAAGGGGAGGCCGTGGCCCAGCAGTGGGACATGTATAGGTTGTTACTTTACTTTTTTTACTACATACAAATTACTGAGTAATGAAATATATATATATACAAGAATTGCTCGTTTAAAGGTATTAGATAATCTGATACTTATTTTGATTGTAGAATAAAATACATTATACATTAGAAAAACAGTTTATATTTTAAGTAAATTAAATTATATACCACTTGATTATCAAATTGGTTCAATGAAAAGCCGAAAGGAGATTGTCAAGCATGATTGCTTGAGGAATTATGAGGTGGTGTATTATTTAATTGTTTAGTATTATCCTGTCAAAATTGAGACACGGAAAATTTTACGCACATATTTTATTATAGCCGTATATAGACGAGTTGAACACTGATAATATATTTTTTTAACCTGTGAACTAAAAATATCAGGGAATGTTATACACATACGGATATCGTGGGGAAGAAACTTCTCTTCGTATTCGTCTTTAAATAAGTCCACAAATTGCCACAGTTAGGCAATATTCATAGGAGTTGAACTGCTCAGCTAGGCAATGAGGCATTGATTGGAACAAGTGGTAATTCGATGAAACAATGTCTGGAGAATACGGCGGGCGAAGTAGAATATCCCAATTCAGCGATGTCAAATTCATCTTTACCGGTTTTGCATATTTTTTATTTAGATTTACGAACCACGTCGGCGTCTTATATTATTCTTACAACAACAAAACTATGATAGCCTAATGCCCTCTTCTTGATTACTTGTATTTTATTAACAATAACGCTTGCAATACCGCATACTTAAAGGTTGTGAAATTTCTTAAAAAAGCACAAAGCTAAATATTAATTAAAATGCATGGTATCTCAGTTTTTCATATATAGCATTTGTCACGTATACAATTTCTCTATTGCTTAGTATTGGGTGTATACGTCTCTCTTATTTACTCCTTTACTATCTTTCTTCTCTCTCATGTAACGAATATTGTCTAAACGTGACATCTCTTTAAAGTTTACTCTCAATTCAAATCAGCGTATAAAAGGTTTCTTTTCAAAAATTTACTTCATGAAGTAATGAACATAATTATTAATAATTAGTATGTATGCACATGTATTTCATTATGGTATTCATTTCATACGTCATTCTATATTAAAGATGTCCATGAACGGTGGTTATCATTTAACTGTGGTATGACCACGGAAAAGTCTTCGCTGTTGCACGAATGGGTAGGTTCGTCCGGGTAACTACCACGACCTCACAAAATACCAGCGAGAAGTGAAAGTGTTTCTGCGTTTCGTCTGGTGAGTGAATTAGCCGGGTGCTACTTTATTAAAAGGTGATAACGCAACTGGAACCGAAACCTATGGTTGTTGCAAATGTCAATGGGTGGTGTTTATCACTGCACATCAAGTGATGGCGGTTCGCTCGTTTGCCACCATTCCAGATAAAAAAAATACTTCAAAACGACCGTCTCTTAACACCATTTTGATTCCCTTCTAATCTGAGAAATAATTTAAGAATAAATGTTGTTCAGTTATCCCCTGTATTCATATGACGTACCGCAAAATATTCATCTGTTTAAATCTTATCAAAATTTGTCGAGTCACGTACAGTCTTTTTGAAATGATATCAAAAGCAATAAGCGCTCTAGAGGGAATTATAAATAACTAGTTTACTTTGTCATTAGAAACGACAAAACCAGTTCCGCGACGGAGACCAACAGTTTCTTAACCCGAAAACATATAAAAAAAAAACGAAAACAACACTGAGACGATTCCAAGAATTCGTTTCGTCTTTGCATAACCAAGCAACCGTATCAATGACGAACTGGAATTCGTCTAACGTCACATTAAAATTAAATGTATAATAATAAAAAAAAATATAAATATATTTATAATATTCCTTCAACTACTCAACAAATACCTGTATTTGTTTTTAGGTTTCCGCACTCAAAGGGTAAAACTATTACTAAGACTCCGCTTGTCTGTCTGTCTGTGCATCTGTCATCAGGCTGCCATTTCATGAACCATGATAATGAGCCAGTTGAAATTTTCACACATATTTCTGTTGCCGCTATAACGACAAATACTAAAACACAAAAAAAAACATTTAAGTGGGGCTCCCATAAAACAGACAGGATGTTTTCGCTCTTAACCTGTTTTTATAAGCATCGGTTTAATTTAATATAGACTAATAACTGATCACTTGCGTGTAACATTAACTATCATCGATACACCGATGTTGCTTTGCTACCGCATAAACGTTAGACATTTACAAACTCCGCGAAATGTCGTGGGAGCGCGACTGGCTGATAAACACTGCGATGGATTCGCTCACCTGCGGCGCGTCTTGTTAGCACCGCCACGGAATTCCCTCATTGAGTAATAACAACGGCGTACGGAGCCGGTTTGGCAGTCGCGGAACAACCGCGGACGGTGCCGGCGGCTGATCCGCCACGCTAGCACACGCCGAGCTCGAAAGTTCAAAAACAATCCCGCAATCATCGAGATCGAGCGAGGGTGACCGCTTCCAGAATGTTCGTGGAGCTACTGACATTACTGGCGGCGTTACAAGCCACGTTCGCATGCGATGAGCAGGACAAACTGGACATATCGGCCGGCGAACGCTCGCCGAACGGTGATATCCTCTACGACGGTGTGGTGTTCGAGATGGGGGACTATTCTGTGAGCCCCACTGGAACCGCTACGGCCTGCCCGAAGCCGGTCGTGAAGAAGTGTTGCCCGTTCGGATCGGGGAACTCCGGAAGGAACTGTTTGGGGACAAACGCCACCTTCGACGTCGGCGTTTGGGACGAGTACAATCCGATAGAAGGCGCCAGAGCGAGGCAGATGTTCCGCTTCAAAGTCGAGAAGATGAACTGCACGCGGCCCTACGTTCGAGTGCAGGTATCACAGCTGGGCGAGCTCGACTGGTCGGACAATTGGCATCTGAGATCGGTGAGAATCCCTTTATCGCTAAAACTACGCTACTGTTAAGTTGAGATGCATAAAAAGAACTTAAAAAGTGGTCTTGTGTCGAAGCTTTGCAGTCCCGAGGACTCCATTCCCAAAGTGAAAACATTTTTGTATAGAGACTAGACATTATTCAAATCAAAAGATACACAAAACACATATAAAATAAAAAAAAATATATTAACAATCCCTCACAAACTGTGGGAAACCACAACTCGTTTTATAAATATCAGTAAGAAAAATTTACGATTAATTATGAATATTTCCTGGTGCCCGTCGACTGAAATAAGTTGAAAATTTTAATTTCCTGATGTTAGATATTTCAGAACTGTCCTATCACTGTCTTTTTTGTTTTATGTGAGAAAGTGACAAACGAGCTAGCGTTTCACCTGATGTTAAGTGATAATCGCCGCTCGTGGACATCGCATCACCCGTTGGATTGCAAATGCGTTGGCACCTTTAAATAAAGTGAGCCCCGGCTACCTCACTTACCAGAGGAAACACAGAAAATTAACGTTTCCACTTCACGCCAGATCTCTGTGAGGCCGTGGTACTTATATGGATGTACCTGCCCATTCGTGCAACAGTGAACGCTATTGCTCGGCCCTACCATAGTTGATGTCTGATGGAAGACTACAAACAATTTATCTGATTATGTTACTTTACATGAAATAATTACTTTAAATATAACGTATTAGTTGATGCCACCATTGTCTGATGGGAAATTTCAAAAAATTTATCATACAATGAGTTACAATCAAAAATATTCTTTGTTCAAGCTCCACTGCCTAATGGGAGATTTGAAAAAAGTATCATAATGTGCTTAGTTGCAAAAAAGAGGATTCGATTCCGTGTCTTCGATTTCATATCAATAGGCTTTTTTTTTTCTCTACTTGAATATCATTGATCATTTGTTTCCCAAACAGTAACATAATAAGGTCAAAATAACATCTGGATTGCATAAATGAATTTTCACCGGCCCCGCTCAATAATCTCGATATTTTCATAAGTATCTTTATGGTCCTTATAAAATGTTTTATATATTGTATTCGTGAGTGCTTATTGAAAGTCGAGTGGACATGAATTTAACACATATGGTTTTATATCTTTTCTAATTTAGGAGTTTAACTTCCTTCATATGATAACTAGTCATAATCTTATGGACTTGAGAACTTATATTGTATTTTTATAAGCAGTTTTAAATAACTTATAATGGTATATGAAGAGGATTTTAGTGATTTATTTTGAATAACTTATGATAAATAGTATCTTTTAATCAGCCTTTTGCAGTCCACTGCTGGACATAGGCCTCATCCAAAAAGTATTATAATTCGTGTATTTTAATTTAGAACGGAACATCTGTGTTCACCCGGTTTGAGTTAAGACATGAGAAATTGTATTGTATTGTTGATAAAGCACTTGGCATAACTTACCAACCTTGATCGTATTTATGAAGTCTAAGTAATGACATTAATATACATAAGCTTGGACAAGTTACAGCATTTAATTAAAATGATTGCATTGCTTAGTGATAATAGGATGATTACTGTCATGATTAAGCTATATATATTAAGTTACCTTGTCTCACAGTCGAAGTGATATAAGTTGCAAACTCATATCATAATTGACATGAAGTAATGACGAAAAATTCAATGTTTACAATAAACGATAAATATATACAAAGAAGTACATGTTTGATGCAGACTTGAAAGCAATATTAAAAATAGTAATAACATTTATTTTGCCCCTCCTTTTAATTCTAGAGTTTGTTTTCTTTTGTTGTGTCATAAGGTAGCAAGTGACCAGACGATTCGACATCAAGAAAGCCCGTAGGGATTCAGATGCGTTGCTAATATGGTAACGTCATATACGTCACCTCTGTAGTAAAATAGATTAATAAAGTTAAACTTAAATGTAGACATTATACTGTGGAGTACTTCGTACTGATATATCGAGGTTTTATTCTCGATAAGTTGCAAGGAGATATTGTGAGAATGACACGACTCGCCTTTCTAACAAATAGAAAAGTTATAGGTACGTTAGACTCGCATACCGGCTGCTTCGAAATTCGTTAAGGAAATTGCGTTTTCAGAATGAACGAATCAAAATAGCGGAAAACTTCAAAAGTATTAAGGTACTTCATTGACAGTTTTAATGGTTTAAATATCAACTTATAAAATCATTTTAAGGGAAATTGTGTGACTTATAAAAAATAAACGTACAAAACAAATTTCATTATATTTTAAGAAACGTTATCAATATAATTTAAATGCAAAAGGAAGAATAGGATATTGTTTTTCTAGTTCTGTATTTTTTACAGTGAATTTTAACATATAAACATAATTATAGTTTTAGTTTGTAGGAAAATTATGCTGTTAACACTTTCCCTATGCTCAGAGGACTTTAAACTATAAATATTGAAATGGATGGATATTCATGTGAGAATAGAATAAAAATAAAAGCTTTCATGTTTTTACTCTCAAAACGCATTCATATATGATAACTGCTCCATATCTCATCTAGCTCCTTGAGTCCGTGACGTGTGATGATCGTATCCTCTACTTCGCACCAATGTGTTATTTACATTTTAGTTATCTAGTTCCAAACTAAGAATTATGTGAAGAAGTATGTACTATGGGTACTGATGAACATACTTAAACATACTTTACGTTTGTAAATAAATACACGTTATCGATAATATACGAAATACATACCCAGATACCAGGAAACGGTATGTTCATCACGAAATATTTTCCCAGCACTGGGAACCCACACCTTACGGCGCGAGAGACAGTTTCGCTATCCACTACGCCTATTGGGACAATGTGGACTCAAATGCCTTGCGCCAATAAATATTCTGTCCTGTAAGCTTGCTTTGCTCGATGGATATTTTTTCGTATTAAAGTAAAAAAAAATATTTATCTCTTGAACAGTATTCGGCGAAGCAAAAAATATATTCGGCTCCGGCCGAAACGATTTTTAATACTTCCTTTGTTCAGATATGACTATTAATTTTTTTACTAACTTAAAAATGCTCAAGTTGTATTTACCGGGCAGCTTGTCCGGTAATTGATGTAGTATTCGAAAAGTCGAAAATTCAATACAAATTTATGACACCGAAAAACATTTTTGTTAACAACATGTTGTAAATTTAAGAAACCACTATTTGTTGCGGTAATTTCGATCTAGTCTGGAGAACAAAATCTGTCGATAATGGGATTTTCCATTATCAATAAATGTTTAATGATTTTAGTCTTTAATACTGGTTTATGAAATTCGGATTTTCGTTCAAAAATTAGTGTGAAACCACAGACCTTTACCATAATATTTACCGTGTTTGTACGTAATACGTAATGGGTTTTTTTGGCATTTTCAATGGCTTGGTCCTTTTATAAATAAAATATTTCATTTTACCCAAATTGTGTCAATCCAGATAAACTGTGCGCATTTCAAATTTCAACCAAATTCCTTCGTGAAGACAATGTTTTTAACATGGCAATTTTCCGTTAATTATTTTTGCCTATATATTAACACGTGTAAATTTGTTTAATTATTGAAGCTATAATTATTTTGGTGGGCTATGAAAATGGGCGCAATGACATGAATTTAACATACACACAAACACATCAAAGTATATCCTTAAAAGCCCACCGCTTTCATTGATTTATTACATTTGCGTCTTCTTAACAGTTCCAGATATAATAACTGGTCTTCCGGATATATCTTTGCAGGGAAACGGACGATGTCTTTTAACGATCGATTAGAAGTCAAAGCGTGTATATCCCACTCCTCCGTCCTCATTATTATTCGTTGAGAACGTCAAGTGAACCATTAGAGCTCCTATCGAATCCTTCAAGAGTCCGACTCTGTGGTCATAGCCAAAAACTCTGCTGTTAAGTTAGGAGAAACGATCTGTATTTGGCGTAAACAATGCAAAACAGTAAAATAACATTTTGTATTATTGACAAAACAACCCTAAATTCAGGCAGTCATAAAACGTTACGGCATAGGCAAAAGTGTCAATTAAATTAAAGGTTCTTTAATATATATTCTATTTCTATACATATAACAAAAATGTAACTGAAAACCATCACCTGGTGCGGCGGCAATTCGAAATGGTACCAACGATATTTCCGCCAATGGGTTGCGGGTCTTTCTCAACTCAACTGCATTGGGTAGATTAAAATGCTTTAACTTTGCGAAAACATGATATACATTTTTGTACTGTTAGAATGATTTTGAACCCAACTTCTCAGGGAAAGCGGCGGGGTAATATCGACCTGAACCGCGCTAGAAAGAATTTTTATTAGTGATGGGACGGCCAAAAATAAGCGGATATCCATACTTTATTAAAACTGAGGTTTGTTTGTTTAAACGCGCTAATCTCAGGGACTACTAGTCCGATTTGAAAAATTCTTTCGCTGTTAGATAGCCCGTTTATTGAGGAACCTGTTTATTGAGCGGTTTTGTTTTATTACTTCCATTTACTGCATTATTTCTCGCAGTGTCTGTGACTTTGTGTATTGTATTTTCTTATTTTGGCAGTGCAAAGTAATTTTTAAATCGGTATATTCACCACACGGTAAGACACCACTGAACTACCTAGTGTGAACTGGCTCCTATTTAAAAGATAAGAATAGAACATGATTATGGGGAATTCCGATAGTGTTTTGATTTCATTAGAGCGCTGACGCATTACCTGCTGTCTAAACGAATTTTATAGAATGATGTTTCATAGATGATGTTTTTAAAGCATTTTAATAGAATGATTTAGTTCGCGAGATAACAGCTCAACTCGTTTTAACTGTTTAAGAGTTATCCATTAGATGTATCGTGTAACATCTCTCCATTCCATCATAAGTGATCTGTGCACTAAAGATAACAGAGTACCGAAGCAATTTAGGTTCGTTTAAGTGCGCGCAGTCTCTCTAAACCATAGATGTAATACATTCGTGTGTAAGAAATTTATCAAAAATAAAACGTTA